ATACACACATGCAAACTCACACACAGCACACACATAGAAAGACATACACACACAATGTCACACACAGATATACACACACAACACACATGCATACAGAGACACATACAAACCACACACGGCACACACATAGAAAGACACACACACAAGGTTACACACAAACCACACACATATCAAACACTAGACATACATGTACAAACATTCTCCCATGCACACACACATGTGCATATATACACATGCACATGCTCACATGTACACACACATATGCACATACACATATACTTACACACACAAACACACACTAAATAAACAAACATGAAAATACAGCTTAATAAAATGCTATTTTCAGTCACCCTAACACCATCTATCCATCCATTAATCTATCGGCAGTCTGTTTATCTGAATGGAAATTATTTAGAGGTAGGAGATACTTACAAGCTGCTTTGTATTGTAACGTCTACTGCTTGGTTATTCTCTGTATTTGTTGTGTGACAACAGGAACATCCTGAAGAGGTGGCTGTCACTGCCACTTAAGTGGATATCAGTCTCATCAAGAGGATTCTTGGAAAGTGTGAGAATTTGAAGAAGCAAAGCTTCCTTGTGACAATGGCAATGACTCACTAATAAAGTCAAAGTACAGTTCCACATATAACCCGCTGGGAGGCTGCTTCTTTACACTCCAGCTACAATCATTATGGGTCAGAAAGACAAGCCAGATTCTCCAAATGTCTTTCTGTGTCGTGCGCTCTAACAAGAAAGGTAAGTCATGCATGCTTAGATAAGAACACAGAGGATTTACATTTCGTTCATCGCCTGCTACATTCTAGGCTCCAGCAGAACAGTGTATAATCTCGTAGTAGTCTTATGAGGTGGCTGTTAAAAACCTGAACTGATAGGTGAGGAAGTTGATATCAAAGAGGCCACAACATCAGCCAATTGAAAAGTTGGAATTTGAAGCCAGGACCATCTAATTTCAAAACCCAGACTCAGCAAGAATACTATGCTTGCAAGCCTAACACGTACAGACACGATGATGCAGAACCCACTATCTCACCATATGTCCAACAACACCAAACAACAGGGCATGGCGGGCCCAAGGTGGTCAGTAACCATTGTGCCCTACTGCCAGGCCTCATCTGTCTGGCATCTGAATCTGGCTTCAAGTGGGAAACCAGACAAGTCTGCAAAAATGCCACACACTTGTGCGTGCAAAGTGAGAACCCGAGGGCCGAGCGAGAATAAATTCAGTAAATTTCATTTGGTTTTATTTCTACCTCAGTCTCGGACAGCTGAGCTTGCTGGCTATGTTTCAAATGACTGTATAATCAGCAAAGAGTTTGCCCCTCAGAAACCTGGTTTCACTGAGCAGAACCATTGCCATGTGAGTCACACAGAGTTCTCAGCTGAGCCGTCTCAGATTTTTAGGACTGATGATGAGAGCAGTCCAACTTTCTTCCTGGTCTGCAACTGTAAATATGTAAATACTTGACATTGGGGAGGGAGGCACTTAAAAGTGCTGAAGCAGACCACGTGGGAGCAAGCATGGGGTGTCTATGCTGCTCCCTCAGGCATCTCCACTACTTAGGTTTATTCGTGAAATCACCCTCTGAGTTTTCTATTTATTTATTTATTTATTTATTTATTTATTTATTTATTTAAGATTTCTGTCTCTTCCCCACCACTGCCTCCCCTTTTCCTCCCCCTCCCCCAATCAAGTCCCCCTCCCTCGTCAGCCCAAAGAGCAATCAGGGTTCCCTGCCCTGTGGGAACTGAGTTGAACAGAGATCTCTCAACAGAAGAAGTTCAAATGGCCAAAAGACACTTAAGGTCATGCTCAACTTCCTTAGCGATCAGGGAAATGCAAATCAAGACAACTTTAAGATACCATCTTACACCTGTCAGAATGGCGAAAATCAAAAACACCCTCTGAGTTTTTAAGCAACTAATGTCACAATTGCTCACAACCTTTATTAATGTCCAGCACTGACACTTCACTGACCTTCCCAAGCTGAATTCTAAGCCCTGATAATCCATACTGTTGAATACAGTATTTTTTCTCACTCAATCAATCAATAGATATTTTCCTCTTTTCTTTGTCAGGGTTCTCTGGACATTTTAATTTCCCCTAATGTAACTGGCCTTCTCTGGTTGTCTATGAGTTGTCTAGTGGATTTTTATTCCAGTTGACAAACTATGACAGTTTCAGGGATTATAACAAATTTAATGTTAAGATTATAAGAATAGTTAATATCATAAGATACTTTACAAAAGGCTTAGAGGTATTATTAGTATTGTTATTGTTATTATTTTCTATATTCATCATGTTAAACAATTTTCCTCATGGTAGCTCAAGGTGAGAGCTAGAATTTAACACACATCTGCACTTATCTGGCACCATATGCTACTCCCTATGACTCTACCCCAATCTTATATTAGTGTCTTCATTTTAAGTGCGCCAAGATCAAGCGGCTAGTAGACAGCAGTAATAGACAGCAGTGTCTTTCTATCTGACTTTCATTTCACTATGTGATTCTCGCCCACACTCCTTACCCAAAACATTATTTGTGGCATGACATCTTCATAGGGTGGCTAGCACTCCTCTAGAAAAATCTGGATTTAGTGTGTGTGCAGGTGGGTGGGGGCAGAAGGCTGCTATGGTTGTGATTTATAACCAGCCTAAGGACCAGTTGGAATGTTACATGCTATGGCCAATCACTTAGCAGATAATTGGTGTGTAATTAAGAGGCAGAACTAATGCACCTGCAGAGCCAGGCTTTGTCAATAGTAATGACTCTCTGTGCGGTCTCCACTCTCCTTTCAATGCCGTTGCAGAAACTAGTAAATAAAGGTGGGGGTTGGACACCAAAAGTAGACATAGAAAGAAAACCGAGGGGACAGTCTGTGGATTGGTTTAATACTGAAATGTTGGGTTTGCTTCATCATTTTAAGGACGGTAAGATTGGAGCCCTTTTGTAATGTTTCAAATACGGCAATTGAGAATGTTGAAACAAGACATCAGACTTTTTAAAAATTTGGTGTGTGTGTGTTTGTGTGTGTGGCACATGGATGTGCTTTTGCTATGAAATTCATACCTTTGCTATGCAAGGTATATTATTTCCACTCTTCCTGTTTAACATGGAAATGGTCATTATGCTATAGAACTAGCTGTGGGGGCTCTAGACTCACCTTGTATCAAGGTTTAAAGTCATATGCATTTCTTGGTACTTGCTGCCAATCTCCAAGGATACTGACTTAGGTATATAGTGATCTAATATAGAATTTCAATCTCAGGCAGTAACAGGATGGGGAAGGATCTGATGGGCAGAGGAAGTTTGCAGTTGAGCAGGAAGAGTGTCCCTACTCTCCCAACACAGTTAGCCACCCCACTCCCATCTTACCTGACATGCGACTAGGCTGCAGGCAAGCTGCACCACTGTTTCATCTGCACCACTGGTGTGGGGGGGTCCTTCTGTCTATGTGCTGCTTTTATTGGTTAATGAATAGAGAAACTCCTTTGGCTTATAGCAAGGCAGAACTTAGCTAGGCAGGGAAAACTAAACTGAATGCTGGGAGAAAGAAGGCGGAATCTGTCAGAAGCCATGGAGGCGCTGGAGGAGAAAGACACAAGCTGCCAGCCAGTACTCTGTTGGTAGGCCTTGGTCGTGGTAAAATATAAAATAATAGAAATGGGTTGATTTAATATGTAAGAGCTTGCTAGAAATACACCAAAGCCAATGGCCAAGCAGTGTTTCAAATAATGTAGTTTCTCTGTGATTATTTTGGGAGTCTGGGTGGCCAGGAAATGAATAAGCAACCTCCTCCTACACACCACTGAGTGACAACCTGGCTTGCTTGGGGAGGGGCAATAACACCCCTCAATGGCTGCGCAACATCCTGCAGCTCTGAGAGCTAAGCACGTGATTTGTCACAGCTCATGGTTCTGCCAATTCCCTGACAAGGCAGTGGCTGCTCTTAGCCAATCTGGGAATCACAGTAGGAGACTTTAAAATTATCCCAGTGCACTGGTAGCTTGTCTTTATTTAAATTTGTTCTCAACTGATTTGAACTATTAATTTTGAAAAATTTTTTTTTGATTTTTCGAGACAGGGTTTCTCCGTAGCTTTTGGTTCCTGTCCCGGAACTAGCTCTTGTAGACCAGGCTGGCCTCGAACTCACAGAGATCCGCCTGCCTCTGCCTCCCGAGTGCTGGATTAAAGGCGTGCGCCACCACCGCCCGGTGTAATTTTGAAATTTTTAAATATTTTATTAAAATACTTTGCCTTTTGATGACGATGTTGTTTTGCACCCCCTAAAATCTTGTTTGCTAGGCAAGTTCCTTATTGAACTCACCCGAGGCTGTGCTCTGACAATGAAATCTAATTAATTTCTTTAAGTTTTTAAAGAAATCTTAAAGTTTTAAAGGCACAGATATCTGGTATTTGGCATCATCTATCAGTGGTAAGCAAAAAGTTGGCAAAAAAGCTTCCAATGGCCTTATACTTTGAGTTGTAATTGTATAGAAGAAAACAAAAATATGACGTATTAAATAGTGATGGTAAATGAACTCCGCAAGAGGTACTCTCCTTGGCAGTATGGGGTAGAAGAGGATGAAGGACATACTGTTTTTGCCAAATGGTGTTTAAGACATACAAGTTGTTAATTACGTTTGTCAGGATAAACGGGATATTTCACTAAGTGAAAAGCCACATATTAAATCATCAGATTTCACACCACTCTGAAGTGTTTTCTGCTGCTATCCACCTAAAGTTGAAGCTTCATTAATTAATATTTACTGACATAGTAAAATAGCAACATGGGAAACACTCTCAATTTGCCAAATCAATATACTCAGTGGATGTTTTTAGGCTGTTGGATCTCTGAACCAAAGGAAATAATTTACTGTTATTCATCTTAAAATGTGAAATTGTCTAAGGATTTTGATCACTTTCTGTCTATTTCTTAAGCAGATTGATTAACCATAGCACAGAAGACAGTTTCTTTACTTATATTCTCACCATTCATCTCTTCAAGTTCACTGTTGACTGTTGTGATTCCAACATCAATAGAATTCATTATTTTGTCAATCTGTGAAAAGTAAAAACCATGTAAGTGGGTTGTTACCTTTATTTGCATCATTGCATTGAGAAACAACTGTGAAGTGCCACAAGCATATTAACTTGGTGTTACTACTACAGCAAACTGAACTTCAGAGACCAATAGCCCAAGATTTAAAGGCAAGCAAACATCCTTTGATTTTCAAAAATATATAAATTATCAACTTACCTATTTTTATGCATAGATAACTCATTAAGTTAGGAACTATGAATTCCTTAAACCCAAACAAAGAAGGGCTAAGGATGGGCTCATTGTCAAGGTCTACATTCTCTGTCTTCATTCTTCTTCTCCCAGAAGTCACGAGCACTCACTGGGGAAGGTGGGTTTCAGTTTGTGGACACAATTATGGGAGTCAAGTTCTAACTAAATGATTTGAGCAACCACAAGCCAGTTGGTGGCATTAATTAAAGAATACAGCCATCAAAACAATTTAAGTCTATAAGTTAAATGCTTTAAGCTTACCTCACAAGAAGGCATCCCAATCAAGATTTCCAGAGTTAAAATTTTAAAAATGGATATACTAATAAAAATATAAGTATATAAGTTTGGAATTTAGATCTCAAAATCTCAATGCTAGACATCAAAAACTGCCCCCTCCTCATATTAGCCACCTGAACAAAATGGAAAGTTTCAAAAGGACAATGGACATTAACTACTTAAGTGTTCTAGTTTGTTCACCGTGAAAAAGATGCGGGGACATCAAGTGATTTTTCACCCCCCAAACAGACCAATTCAGAAAGTCATTATCAGAGTCAGGTCTATTTCCAGTTCTCAGACTACCATAGTCACCTCATGTACTTCAAAGCTAAATCTTCCTGGCATATCCTCCTCAGAAACAAAAACGTGACCTATTAGAATGAACTATTGATGGAGACTTTGTCCATTCTTTAAAGAAATTCAAGAAACAGCAAGAAGCATTACTATTTTATGATGTGATTTCCCCCAGGGAAAAAGAGATTGCATAGTTTTACAAAGGGTCCTTTATTTTCTGAGTCATTCTGTCAGATTAAAGACTTTGTCTTTAAATGGAGTCTGAAGTAGTGAGTCTTTGACCCCAAGATGCGTTTCTCTTTTAGTGTGCCACCGAGAGCTGCAAGTGGGAAATATTATATGATGTCTGCCTTTTGTGTGGTTCTTGAGAAAGAGTCAGGACTGCCAGCTTTCCCACTAAGGCTAGACTCATAAGGATCTGCTCTGAAGATAGAAGACATTGCAAAGAAGGAAGGCACACTAAGAAAAAGTTTAGCAAGTAGCAAAACAACACAGAGAAAAATAATTGTTTCTTCCAAAATAAGATTTTTTTTTTTCAAACTGTCAGCCACAGTCAGTGCCTTGTGGGACACGATGGGAGCATTCTCCTGTACTTCATAGCTACTTATTACTTCTGCTTGGTACCAATTTTTATGGAAACAAAGTGTCCCCCATGCGTGTGGAAATGTGCTCATTTTTCCACTTGCTGTGAAGTTACTGTCTATTATCCGCAGAACCTTTCCCCTCCAGTTGGAGCTGATGAGTTCATTACCCATCCCGTCCCCACCCACGTCAGCTTCTGAAAGCTTTGAAAAACAGAACACCTTTCCTCCAAATCCCATTCAACTCAGAAGCCCGTAACAAGAGCAACGATAAAAGTTCGGCTTACTTCTTCCCATTCGGACGTGAACGAAGGCGTCCTTTCGGAATTATCTTTAGAACTGCGTTCAGCCGTGGACGACTCGCTCCAGTTAACCCTCGCTTTGTTCTTGGAAGGGTAGGCGATAAGATCAGAGTCGGACTTAGAGACATTTTTGGATAAGTGCATGTCGATCAGGGCTTTAGGCAGCGACCGTATTCTCCCCAGAGTACACGCTCTCTCCACAAAGCCCCCTGTACTTGCACCCCACTGGTCACCACTGCGGGATCCGCTCCGAGACGTTCTTGTTCCAACGATGGTATGGTTCTCGAGTTGGTGGCTTCTTTTGTGGAAAATTGTTCTACTGACCACTTTGGGTTTAATCTTCTTTACCACTGTCTCTGACTTATTTTCTACTGCAGTTGGTTTGAAAGGCAGAGGGCTGCTTGCCAAACTGGCTTCATCTTGTCCATCTTCACACGGATTTCTTTTCCCATACAGATGGAAAGGGTTTTCAGGGGACTCACAGGCTGGAGAGGATCCGTGGAGAAGGCCTGCGAACTGCCCGGCATCATATTCTTTTGGCGGATCGTCTTCCCGTTGAGAGAGGTCATCTGTAGAAAGAGGAGAAAGGCTGTCAGGGGCCTTGCTTGCAAAGGACTCTGAAAGCCACGAGACAGTGGCAATGCGTTTACGGACTTTTATATACCCTGGCAGTTGATTTATTTACATGATATCATATTTTTTGCTTTAGGAAATGCCCATGATCCTATACTGCTACATACGAAGCGCACATGAGCATGTGTCTGTAAGAGGAGCCTTATGTGTTTGAATTAAATGCCTCTGATGTACCTCAGGGTTCATTTCAAAGGCAGAAGCTGAGCAACACCATGACTATAGATCCTTCTTCTCTCAAGGGTATATGTTTGGTATTAAATCAACAAAACTGGGTTTCTTGAAGTGGGACAACCATATCCCGGGCCTCACAGTTAGTGTTTATCATGCCGTAGGCCACCAGGCTGGCATTGTACAAACTGATAACTATCTTCACTTCTCTCGTCAACTACATTCAAAAGTAAAATCCTGGGAAATATATTCAGTAGAAATTTAAGACTAATAATCCTGAAAGTATTACTTTAAGTATTAAGACAACAGTATTCCGATTTTATGAGTTAAACAGAAAGAGATTTTTCAGGCTCAGTCCAGGCGAGTGGCACGTCTGTACCATCACTCAGAGGCACGACCCTTCCACAGAAAGGACGCTGAGCTGTTCTCTGTCTTTCTCCTCTGAAACCTCACACCTTCTGGTTCCTTTAGATCTTTGCATAAAAGAAATCAAAGAATGGTGATTTTTTTTATTGCCTTAGAAATGTTTCTAAGATAAAACATGAAAACCTCTCTGTGATTTAAAACACATTATCTCTTTTTTTTACAGCTTGATTTGTCTGATAAAGTGATACTGAGGAAAAACTTGTCCACAGGACTTAGCAAAGGAAGACAGTTTATCTTGTTTTACAGAGATAATATTAATTCATAGAGATCGGTAAATATTTGCCAAGATTGAAGCTATGTGATAGGCAAGAGCCTTGTCTTGTGAGGTCAGAAACATCCAAGGAGGGGCATACTGACAATACACTGATCGATAAGCTGATTGGCTGAGCCACACTTTGAAAAAGTTAATTATTATTACAAAACTCAATTCCCAAAGAGTTTATGAATTAACAAGTGATATTGAATGAGCATAGGTAACTCCTAGGCCCAGAATAGAGAGTTACTTTCCCCTTCTCTCATTTGACCCTCATGGCAACCTTGTGATTTAGTTAGTAACAATAAACATGATCTTTCTGGTAAAAACATCTATGGACAAAGTAACAAATTTTCCTACTTTTGAAACACTGGAAATCACAGTGAATTTCGGCTGACATTTGTTCAAGAATTGGTACACACAGATCTCTTCTTGGTACTGCACATAGGCCCTTGGCCTCCAGGCTTCTCTCTCCCCTGCAGCTAGTAAAAGACTGTTTCTTCTTGGCTCTGCATATATCCAAACCTCATGTTGGTTCATGTTAAAAGTTTTTTAGAGGAGACCATATTTTCCTACCCAGACCTATCCCACCGCACCCCAGAATAGAAGAACGAAAAGCGCCAGAGATTGAGATCCAACTATCCAAAGAAGAAGCAATTTTTATCCGTCTACTTCTATGGTGACAGCCATATTGGTTGTAGCATAAAACCTTCATCCCTTCGCAAACGGTTATCCTGGCCTATGTCAACTGCATTTCCCATTCGTCTTGTAACAGATCATTCTTGGGGCAGAGGTCACAACCGGGGCAAGGCAACCAGGAATTCTTTAAGGACTAGTCTTTATTGATCCTTACGTCTACTTGTTAAGAAGTCAAAGCAAACATACAGCTTAGCTTGTTGAAGTTTCTGTTCTTAGGAGGGACTCCAGCATCGGCTGGCTAGAATACACATTACCACTGAGACAAAAGAACAATTTAGCATTGGCTTACTAAGAAAATAATCAAGGGGGCTCTTTAAAGAAAGGGCCAATGGTTTTCTTCTTCATGACTAGTTTTGGAATGGGAAGAACAGTAGAGAGAGCAGAAGTGTCTTGTTGGCTGTGTGTGCTTTTTCTCAGAGACAGGCTAATACTAGGAGAAAATAAGACCTGGCAACCTCTTCCTATTTATCTGCTCTTCCTTTTTCCTGGGTGACTTCAAGTCTCTGCTGCACTTCCCTGCACCAGCAGGCTGCTCGGAGATGACAGTAATGGCGGAGAATGGTAAAAGGAAGAACTGTGGATGGAGGAAGTTTAAAATTACATTTCGAATGTCACTATAAAGGCTAAAGTGGTTTAGTTTGGAAGGAAAATTGAAGAGTGTTGAAAGACCTATTATCAGAAAAAGGTCTATAAGTCTTAGTCCAAAGGGTTTCTGACCATGTTAGTTATCCAGAATAATGAGAATTTTAGGGACACTATATTTAAAGTTTAAAGGATTTCGTGAGTGGCGGTTTAAGGTTACCGTCACCTCTGTGTTTTGACTAAAATGACTATAATTATATTCTCGAGTGATTCGTATGGACCAATCTCTCCAGTCACAAGCAGACACTTCCTTAAATGAAAGGGAATTTAGTTCTCAGCTTGTAGGTTTAGCCTGTGAATAACAGTCCTTAGCTCACGACAGCTGAAAACACAATTGCCCAGAGGAGGGGAATAGTTCTTTCTTGTTTCAGGGGTCAAATTTTAAAGGTTACTCAAATCAAAGAAAAGGAGAAACTTATTTGAAACCTGAAATGACTGATGGGAATTTATCCATCCCTGGCTATAGCCACACCCCTCCTATGCCACACCCCTCCTATGCCACACCCCTCCCTATGCCACACCCCTCCCTACAGCTACACTCCTCCCTATAGCTACACCTTTCTGCTGCTGCTCACAGTCCAAGACACAGACTGTCCCTGGGGCCAAGGATCCTGCATTAGCCAATAATAAAGCAGCAAACACAATGTGGGGTGTGGACAGTCTAAAAGGGCTTCTGCATTTAACTAGCTGCTCTTGGAATCTTCCCAACACACAGCTGAATTGCTAGAGGATGAAAGGACCCATCCAGTTCTTTGAAAATGCAGTGTTCCCCCCCCCCCCTAAGGAATGCTGGAGTCAATACAGGAAAATGTTTATCATTGGAAAAAAAAATAGACCATTACTAAAAATCTAAGAAGAGGGACATTTTCGGGGTGAAGCTAGCCGGGAGGCCGGGACAAACAAGCAGCCTCCTCTTACAGGACATATCTCACTTTATGGGGCCTCAGGAAGGTACATGAGGCCAGACAGATGGCAGAGGAAATAGGGAGGTTGTGAGCAAGTGCCTTTTCCTGGCTCCTATGGGAAGAAACAAGCAAAGCCGAGAAAAAGAGGTTGAGACTGGCTAGTTGGGATCAGTTCAGCAGAGCAGAAGGGTGGTCTCCAGTTGTCTGGTGTCTGACCCTGGGTAACTAGGGCAACCTCAGACCTGTATGGCAAGTGATCATGGAGTAACAGTAAGTGCTGCCAGGTTGAGCTGAGGTGGCCCAAGGTGGAAGAAAACACCCGGATTCATGACCTAAACGATGCCTATTATTTCAAGCCACCGAATTTGAGGTGGCTTGGTATGTTGTCATACACTCACATGGAATGCCAAGTTTTCGAAGATCAATACATTCTTTAAAAAAGTCCTGCAGTGTTTCCATTCCATATCCAAGACATTGTATCAATGTACACACCTAAAAGGCTTGGGACCACTGAGCGAAGTTACAGATCTTAGTCCATTGGGCTGCTCTAACCAAACCCTATGAACAGAACAAGTGACAAAGAGTGTTCATTACAGTTCTAGAGGCTGACAAGGCAAACGAAGACACCAGAAGGCTGTCTGATCAGAGTCCCCCACTTTCTACCTCATAGATGGCATCATCTAACTGTACTTGTAAGTTACATCATCTAACCGTGTCCTTATCTTATAAGAGGCAGAAGGGGGCTGATGAGAGCCTTTTATGGGACACTAATCCCACTCTTAAGGATGCGGGTGTCATGACTCTTCAGACTCCCAAGTCCCCTCCCCTCTTATTATCTTCCACCTTGGGGGTGAGGGTGTCGACTTATGTATTTAGGAGGATACAAATATTCAGATCTCAGCAAGAAACAGACAATTTCAGTTGTATATAACAAGAGAATAGCATGTTTCTGTTATTACAATAAACGCATTTTAATCGAAAGGGGTCCCATGATTTATAAGGAATATTAATAAGCAATACTAACCAGTGGCTTTGTACATCAAATTAAGATTTGTTTTGACACAGTAACTATGTAAGATTTATTTACTTTATTTTTATTTAAACGCCTTTATAAGCACACTTTAGAGACTTTTGCATTCTGTTACTATTTCCTTTTTTTGTATGTAAAAATACAATATTTTTTATTAATTTTATTGAGCTATACATTTTTCTCTGCTCCCCTTAATTCCTCTCCCCTCTCCCCCATGGTCTCCATGCTCTTTAGATGAAACTTAGGCAAAGGATAAAGATCGAACTGTTTTCATAACTTGTCTTATTTGATTTCATACTTCTCTATTGAGAAAGCAGGCTTCTCGTGCTAAGATATGGAAGCAAATATGTGTGAATTCCAATCTGATAATCATTAGCACTTCAAAGAAAAGCCAAAGTCTCTCTAGTGGTAAGCAGAACAATCCCCTTCCCACCTTTGTCCCTGATTTTTATCACCTACGTAGATATCTGAATAACAGTAAATTAAAAATTTCATGTTAGGATAAAAACCAATTATGGAAAAAAGTGGCTATTATTATAGATCAAACTTTTGTCTATGAGGTTACTTCATTTCCCTTCAGAAAAAAATCTAATTTTAGAGACTTTAGTGCTAATATTGGTATTTGTAGGAATGATTGATTGATTTCACAAATACATATAGAATACTTTCAGTGTGTTTGCTGGCACAATTTCTGTAGGGCCCAAGGCAAAACTACTCCTCCCGGCTGTTACACTTCAGAAAAAGGCATAGCTATCGGCAAATAAGAAACAGTCTTGTTTTGGATGAAGTTATGGGGCTAAGATAACAAGGTAA